AAAAAAAACAAACCAAAAAAAAAATTTAGATTACTTTTAATTGAGACACCATCTCTGTCTTGGCTGCCTACCCTCTTTTGTCTGTTTCACCAATGTGTCTGGAAATTTATGAGTTCTCTAAGTGATCAACTTTGCTCTTTCTTGAGGATAACACTATCAAGTCCTCATTAAAACTAAAATTCAGATTCATCTTTAGAAAGAAAGCATGAATCAAAGCTGAAAAAAGATCAGCAAGACAAATCATCAGAAATTAGCTATTTATAACTGACCTCCTCCAGGAAGATGTACGAAATGTTAAAAGTAGTCATCCCCACACCAGCAGCGTAGGCTGCTGGATTAGACCATGGGTGATAAAGGGGGATCGTGTGGGCGCCGATCCTGGCTCTGCTACTTCCTTCCTGCCTTTGTGACTTTGAGCAGATCTCCTAAGTTTTCTATAAAATCTATCTGTGGTAAAATGGGGATAATACCATTACTGCTTCTTAGAGATGTTATTTGAGTCAAATGAATTAATATTTGTAAAGAGCTTAAAATAGAATTTATTACCAAGTTTCATAAATAAAGTACAAGAGTGGTAAAAATATCTCTTCTAAGATAACACATTTCTTAATTAATAAATGCTTTTTCTTCATTAATGCCAGGCTTCTTCTACATAAAATCACCATTGGTATCCATTATAGAAATTACACTATGTTATTGAACACAGTCAAGGAGTGTTTGATCTATTTAGCACTAAGAATTTATTTTTTCATGTTCTTTGTTTACTAAAAATACAAAGTTTAATAGAATTAAATTCTTTGTAGACCTTGTTAGCTACCAATGGAAATTTGAAGAGAATCTGTTCTTGGCTTAGGGCTTCTGATTTTTGTATAACAACTGTCACTACTGTCTAAGATCTGGAACAGATTTTAATTCTCAAATGAATATGTTCTCTGAGCAGCTATGAATGGTTTAGCTGTGACTGTAACCCTCATTCCTCTTCATCTTGAGGGCAGCTGATTTCATATCATTCACATTCAGTCACTCCTTCCTGTCTACTATTGGTTTCCCATCCCGTTCTGTATATCAGAATGGCTGGACTCCCTTATTCTGAATAAGACAGTAAAACTTTTTTATTTTATTCTACCACCAAATTTGTTAATAACTCCTCTTCTTTTCACTTACTCATTAGCCAAACTTGTCAGTCGTCCACTTTACTTCCTTAGTCTATCTGATATCTCCATCTAGTATCTCCAGCTAAAGAAAAGATTTGACTGAGTTTCTCTTCATCACTTCAAACTCTCAGTCTAAACATAAACTCATGTGCATCTTATCTCTTAACTTCAAAAAGTCAGTACTGAGAGAGGACAATCATATTTGACAAAGGACTGATGGATGAATGTCTTCACTACATGAAAAACTTCTACAAGTCAATAAGAAAAACAGGCAATTCAATAGAAAAGTAGGGAAATACATGACACCTGTTTCAAAGAAGAGGAAACATGAATGGCCGAAAGCATGAAAAGATGTTCAAATTTATTAGTAAACAAGTAAATGCAAAGAAAACCACCATGAGATGCCATGAACATGCAACAAATTGGCATATATGAAAATATGACAGTTTCAAAGTGAGGATGTGGAGCAGTGAGCATTCTCATACTTGGTTGTGGGAATACATTTTGGAGCAGTCACTTTAGAAACAAATGCAGTATTACCTAACTTGATTAAATATATGTGCATCCTAGAGCCCAGCAATTCTATTGTCAGTTATTTAGCAAGTTGGCTCTAGGAGACTTGCACAAACCTGTTTCAAGCATTAATGTTTGGAAGAGCAAAACACTGGAAATGACCAGAATACTCCTAAATAGGATGGATAAGTATAATGTAAAACAAGTGAACTTTAACTGTAAGAATCAAGAAAGGTATATCTGAAACATATAATATTGAGAAAAATGTTACCTACAGGAATTTATATGGTATCATTTCCTTTCTGATAGCTGGTGGGAAGGCCATTCTTTCCCCTTCAAGATAAGTTCACTACATATACTTCAATGTATGATATATTTCATGATTAATCCATAAATAATCTAATGTTCAGTAACTGTGCTTCAGGTTTTTCAGTATCAAGTAGTTCTTATGGATTCCCCTCTTAGTCTTGAAATACATGCCATTCCATAGTAGAATACAAGTTAAGGTTGGAAGTGTCCTTAGAATTAGTTAATATGGGTATTTGTTTGAAGACATATTGAATAGAACTGACTTGCTTGCCAGTTAAACACTAATTTCTTAATAGGAATAATAATAATAATAAAGTCAGCTCTTTATAATGTTTCAGATATTTTACAAATCATGATGATAACATAATCCTAGGTAAACTCTATTGAACTGAGACATATAAGATATCAGGATAAAAGCTTATAGAAGGAATGTAGAAAGAGGGAAAGTAGAGGCTCTCTAGAAACCCAGGACTTCCCAAGGCTATGGACTTGGATCCATGGAGTTGATTTCGCTGCTCTCCTGCTGTGATTGGATACCATAGTCCCCCCTTACGTATGGTTTTGTTTTCTGTGGTTTCATTTACTCACAGTACCAAAATATTCAATAGAAGACTCTAGAAATAGACAATTTATAAGTTTTAAATTGCATGCTGCTTCAAGGAGCATGACGAAATCTCATGCCATCCTCTCCACCCCACCCAAAACATGAATCATCCATTTGTCTAGTGTGTTCCACCTGTTCATATGTAGCAACCCTCTTGATTTCAGACCACCTGTCTTAATATCACCATGCTTGTGTTCAAGTAACTTTGATTTTACATAATGACAGCTCCAAAGTGCAAGAGTACTGATCCTGGCAACTCAGATATGCCACAGAGAAGCTGGAAAGCACTTCTTTGAGTGAATAGATGAAAGTTCTCAACTTAATAAGGAAAGACACAGACACACACACACACACACACACACACACACACACAAAACTATATACTGAGGTTGTTAAAGTCTACAGTAAGAATCAATCTTCTATCCGTGAAATTGTGAAGAACAGAAAAGAAATTCATGATAATTTTGTTATTTCACCTCAAACTATAAAAGTTATGGCCATAGTATATAATAAGTGTGTAGTTAAGATGGAAAAGGCATTAAATTTGTATATTTCAAGAGAGACTACATTCACATAACTTTTATTATAGAAAATTGTTATAACTATATTTTATTAGTAGTTATTGTTAATCTCTTTGTCCAGTTTATAAATTAGACTTCATCATAAGTGTATTGAATGGGAGGAAAACAGTAATATATAGAGTTCAGTACTATCCATGATTTCAGGCATCCACTGGGGGTCTTGGAATGTGGAGGACTACTGTAAGGGAAGACTACTGTACTACTAAAAACATTAGAGGAAGACAGAAACTCACAGACTTAGAATCTATGATCCTTTTCCGGTTGCTCCATAGACCATTTTATATGAGAGTGGGCTTAGCCCTGAGAAGGATGGAAGGAAACACCAATGTATTTTTTTAGCCTCTTTTTTCCCCCCTCTGGCTGAACCAGGCAGCTTGCACGATCTCAGCTCCCTGACCAGGGATTGAGCCTGGACCGTGGCAGTTAAAGCCAAGGATCCTAACCACTAGGTTACCAGGGAACTCCTAGCCTTTAATCCTACAAACAACTCTGGAGTTTCCTTTTTGAGTTTTCCTGACCCTCCTTCCTTTTTGCCATCTGGCATGTAAAGTGTGTATTTCCCACATTTCCCCCTTTTACAAATTTACAGACGCTACTAAGTTAGAGACTATAGAGAAACAGGGGAATAGTCAAAGGTGGGGGGGGGTGGTCATGATGGAATACACAGTTTGATGAAACTCCATCAAAGGCACTCAATCTTAAAGCCAAATACAGAAACACATAAGTCATGTCACAGTGGGATATAGATAGGGGATTGTTCTATACTGTCTGTTGCTGTTCTTGGAAGCAGAATCCCCTCATTAAAGCTTGCATCATATGAAATTTTTAAAGAAGGAAAGGAACACAAACACACACCTATAAATAGTCCTGCTAAAAATTCATAAATATTTCTGAAATAAGACAAATGTCTTATAACATTGGTCTTAAATTATTTTATTGCATGTATTAAAGTCTTCCAGAAATAGACATTTTCTTCAGTTGCTCCTTTTACTTGACTCAAAATTCTGAGGAAAGCAGCTTAGAATATGGTGTACTAAATTTATTAGGTTGTAATCTGTTGATTTCTCACTTCTTTATATCAGTTCATGACATTTGTTGTTCAAAAAGGCATCATTAGAGATGTCTCAGTAAAGTACTTCATGCACGGGAAGTGGGAAAGCAGTGTTACTGTGTCATTATTCACATTTGCTAAGGTACGTATCCTTTGTTAGAGATAGGCAGAACTATCCCAGAAACAATGGTTGGGGCTAGGGTCTCTTTTTAATTCGTGTGAAACCAAAAAAATCAGGGACCATAAAATTGAGCCAGTTTTATTGAGAAATAAAATATGCTGATCCCAGTTTAATGGATTCCAATTTAGCTGTTAAATTAATTATTCAATAACATACTGAATGTATCATTTTTAAATTTTTTTCCTTGCAGTTTTAGAGCAGGTGGGGACATTGCAGTAACTTTCTGTTTTCTAAAAGACTTTAATGCCATTTAGCAGAGAGCAGTAGGATATAGGGAAAAGGGATGAGAAGCATAGAGGTGTGGAACCTAGAACCAAGGACCAGTGCATAGTGAGTAATACTCTAACCCATAAGCACACACACACATGTATACACAACTACAGTCTTTCCCTCCCCACCAAATGCAGTATCTGCTCCTAAAGATTGTTCATTTAAATTTAACCTGTTTCTTTTTGTCCTTCCAACCCACAGAAGACTTCTAGGACTGCAGGTCTTTAGGTTCTGGATTACTTACTTTTATCAAGTATTATTCAGCTTACTAATGATTTATATATTTTGTGTTCCTTCTTTCTCTGACTGTGTGGTCTCCTCCCAACTGAAAATGAAGACTGCTGTGTCCACTGTATCCTGGCCTGCCTGTTCTGTGAATTCCTGACCCTCTGCAATATTGTCCTGGGACAAGCTTCATGTGGCATCTGCACCTCAGAAGCCTGCTGCTGTTGCTGTGGAGATGAAATGGGAGATGACTGTAACTGCCCTTGTGACATGGATTGTGGCATCATGGATGCCTGTTGTGAATCATCAGACTGCCTGGAAATCTGTATGGAGTGCTGTGGAATTTGTTTTCCTTCATAAATATTTATCTTCTGTTTGCGTTAAAACTGGAGAGTATTTTAAGTTTTTTCTTTTGAGGGAAAAGAAAAGCACGTGGTAAAATTCTCATCAAACAACCCAGTACTTGCACTGTTAACTCATTATTTTAGGTAATCTCTGAAAGCCTTTTTTTCTCCCTCTAACCAAATCCACATGGTTTAATATGTGAAATTTTAACTACTTTTACACTTGTTAATAGGTTGCAGTGACTAAGGGACATTTTGGCCAAAAACAGAAAAGAAGAAAAAAAACCCAAAATGTCTCCTCCTTTTTATACTTATCTCTGTTTCTTTTAACCAGTCTTAGGAGCCCCTTGCTCCAAATGTATTCTTTGTTGGTGGTTATTTAAATCAGACAACTTAATGTTTTTTCAGTGGTTACAGTAAGATTCCTTAGAGTAGACTTTGGGGAACACGCCCACACAAGCACTGGGCACCTCACGTCTGCGTCCACCCTCTGCTGGTTCAGCAGACGCCGGGCGCCTGCTGCGTGTGACCTGCTGCAGCGCCGGGATGGATGGCGCTCAGCTCCATCCAGTGAAGCAGAGGGAAGTTTAGGCAGAGAGACCTGGAAAGAATAAGCCGGCCCACAGGCATATTGAAGCCATGATTATGAAAGAGAAACTCTAAAGGCTGTAGGGATACACACAGAAAGGAAGAGCTAATGTCTATGGGAATATTCAGAGGGCTTCGAGGAGAATGTGGCCTTTGAAGGGGGCCTCTTGGGATGAGTGATTCATCTGCTGCTTGAATGAATTAGCTTAGGACCAAGTTTTAGGTGACCAACCTGAGCTGACTGTGCCCTTGAGCAGTTAACAAGAAAAATGCCTCATGTATGTATTTTCTTTAGTTGTGGCAATACATCTTTCTTTAAAAACTATAAAATTTAAGTTAACTAAAAATAAACATTTTTTTTACATAATTTAGAGGTTATGATAAAGTTTTGATAAAAACAATGCTTTATTAAAATACCTATATTTTATCAAGAATGTGGAGCACTTTTGAAAAGTTGCACTTAAATTAGGAAAATTTTTATGTTAAAATCTCAGCATTTTGATTTTGATTTATTCAAACACTTTTCTTTTGAGAGCTCTTAAGTATTTTGCAAGGGGAAGGGTTATTTGGTTAGGAAGCAAACCCCCTTAAGCACAGTTAACCTTAAATACAAATTATTCCTTCCAGTGCAGTGGCAATCTTGACATCCATTACTATGACCAAATTTCAGTATTGCGATTTTACATTAAATCCAAATGGTGGGTTATAAAGATCCTTAAGTGTGAAGAAATAAGTAAGACTTATTAAGTTACTTGTTAAGACTTAGTAAGTTACTAAGACATAGAGACTCTGTGTGGTACCGATGAAGAGTAAATTTTCCTTCTACATGCTCTTCTGCTAAGCTTGATGTCCCCAACTTGTAGTTTGATTTGATTTAATGTAATACCTTGTAGAAATTTTGAAAGTATATCTTTGGATGAATAGTTAGTTTTTATTATTCCAATTGAATATCAAATTGATAGTAAAAACAAATGCATATTTTTAGGAAGCCTTTTAGCAAATGTAGGCTTTTAAGATTTTAAAACCTAAAGCATGGGTATGTCACCAAGAATTTTTCCTTTGAGATAAAACCTAGTTTCCACTTATATCATTACTTAAGAGGCTTAAAAAAGAAAAAAAAATAGCAAACTCTTGAATCCCCCTTTTAGTGCTCTTTACACACACACACACACACACACACACACACACACACACACACACACACACACTTAAATTGTCAGGCTTAAATAGAGCTCTAGTCAACAGCTGTCTATCTCTTCCTGGCCTAAAGAGCATTTTTGATGTAACAAATGAAATATGAGAACCTCTTTCTACTATTTCTTAGTAACCAGAATCTGAATATTTACATATATCCAAAGTTAACATGTATATATATTAGGATGTAAGAGTATCAACTTTATATTGATATATAAAACCTTCTAATGACCTGGAATCATTAAAATAGTATATCTGTTATACTGCAAAAATTTTATGCCAAACCATTTGTCTAATATTTAAGTGTATCCTGCTATTTACAATGATGATATTAGCACTTTTAAAATAATGTTTCTCTGTAACAGAGAGCATTAATTGATAGAATTTTAATCTCATATTTATATTCATAGTACTTTTCCTCTATTGTCTATTCTGCAGTCATACCACAAAGTACCTTGTATGATTTTTTTAAAATAAATGAAAAAAACAAAAGTAGCAAATGTGAAAATATTTTCAATATGTATTTTAGAATTTCTGTATGTAAAATATTTTGTTGAATTATATGGACATCATAAGTGCTCTAGTTTACAGTTACAGATTTGGTCTCTCTTTAAATGTGGAAACGTAATCTTAAATATTTTTAAACTGGACCTGTATTATCCTGAATATACTATTTTGAAATAAAAAAATGATTAATCTAATTGATGGATCAATATTTAAATGAATTCAACTATAATTTAAAAGCTTAGGATTTTCTTTTCTTGTTACATCTTTCTCTGAAAGATTTCTTAGTCTCCTATGTAAATCACATGACTCATGCCCATAAGTGAACTATGAAAGTTTCAGATCAGTTTATACTGCAAATCATAGTTGACAAATGATTTCAAAACATGGTAAAACATGGTTTTCTGTTAAAACTTCACAGTAGAGCAAAATTCACATTTTTTACACTTGTTTTTTAGTAAATTGCTTTTACTTATTTGCTTTGGAATTATTTCCCAACTTATCAAAAAACTGTGGTAAACTGAAATTAAACACAAAAGATCTATGGAATTGGGTATTAATTTTAATGAATTTCACCCAAAAGTAAATCATCAGAAGTACTTTCAACTAGGGTTTTTAGTGGCACAATTTGTAAGTAGTAGGAAATGTTTTGTTATTAGTATTTAACCCCTTGAATCACTTTATTTAGGAGAAGACATTTTACTTAGGAGTATAATAATTTTATTTTTGTGTTCTGATAGTATATTGACTATATCCATTTCCCTCACCTGAAATAGCCAGTGTTTCTCTGAACAGTTCACGGAGTAACCAAGGCAACCTTATGTAATAACTTTTCATTCTTCATCTATACAAACTCTTATCAGTACCCTAGATTCTAATGTTATAAACGTCAAAGTCACTGCCTAACATAAATAAGATTTGAGTCCAGAGTCTGTGTGGCTTGCCTTCTTGAATTCCAGTTTCAATGCCTAGATTTACCCAACCATCTAATGAATGTTTATTTATTAATAAGATTATTTTTCATACTATTCAAGACCTTTATGCCCTTTCCAATTATGTGTGATTTGTAGGCCTGTAGGTTTATTACATCTAATCTGACAGGCAAGATAAAATTTCATCAGACACTATAATATCCATTTTTCTCTTAATACTAATATAGAAAAGCATACCATTTTTGTTTTAAATGACAGTTAATATAGGGATAGGGTTTATTCTACACTTACTATTTATATTTTAAAATTGAGGCTTGGGTACTATAAGGCATTCTTTTTAACCCTTCATCTCTATGTCCCGTATAATCAATAAATTTATGTGACTGTTTTCTTTAAGTCCCTCAAGGAAATCAAAAAACCCTCAGGATGTTTCAACCTTTGGGAGAAGTTTGCCACTTCCCATTAGAAAACTGTTACTGAGGCTACAAATATTTACTTGTTCATTTCAGATTACTTCTAGAGATTATGGTTAAAATGGAAGGGGTTGATGCAGACCTAACGTGGAGGGGTGCTTTTCGCAAAAGTCATCACTGGCGACTAAATCCGCCATGTATTTGCACATTGCAGAATTCCCAATGAACACTGACTGACCTCTCTAAAGACCTGTGAATGAGTATCATCCAAATGACCAAATTTTAATCAAGTTCAACAGGCAGTCTGGAGGTGAACAGAATTCTAAGCAAAGCTACATCAAAGCCTCAACTAGAAAGAATTTCTATCTAGGCAAGCAGAAATCTGCACCATCTCACTCTTCGTCACACTGGGACAGCTGGGCGACATTCTCCACCTGGGCAGTAACTCCACCCCTGAGCTGCCAAGAGAGTCAGACACAACTCAACAACCAAACCACCACCACCGCAAGCAGCCAAATGTCAAAATGAGTAGTTCCTTGCCTTCCTACAGAACTGCAGCCGCTAGTTGTAGTTCTGTTTGTCCATTATTTATGCCCTTGATCCCTCCTCACCTTCACCCTTGCTAAAAGAGAATCTCAAATTTATTTGTGAGGTGACTGTGAAGAAATCAATTTAGCTAACCATGCCTCAACATATTACCAACAGAGGGTATAGATATATCTGTTTAAGATGAAGTATAGCTCTGCAATTAAATGTTCACTTTCAGGCAGCTCTTTGAGGTTCAGTGGAGAATGTAATTATTAGGAAAACAGTGAAAAGCAAATTCACACAAATTCTCAGTTTAGCTTGAAAAACTGAAAAGGTTCTTAAGTTCTGTCTGATGCATAAAGGGGTAGAAGCAAAGGAATTACATTCCAAAGCCAAGAAAGAGGGTGTACAAAAGCAGCTGATCCACTTGACATAGTTCATAGCCTTTTGCAAAGGAATAAAAGCCCGTTGAGCAGGGAACCAAAAGATCTCATTATAGGATGAAGCCAGGCCATATTAAAGCTTGTGCACTAGTAACTATGTCTAAAAACAGCCTGCTGTTTTATATTGAACCAATACATTCTTAACTTGGTAGGTTGCAGTGTAAAGATGTACAGAGCCTGTCTGCTGGATGCTATGCCAATTACAGATGTGACGGAGTGGTGTCAAACACCTACAAATAGTTAGGATCTCAAGCAATCTTCGAGTGAAACAAAAGAAGTTTTAAAATGTCATCTCAAAACCTGGATAGCACAGTTCATCTTGTGGGTCTGACTCTCAGAGTCTCAAGATCACCTTTATTATATAATTTAATGTGGACCTCATATGATCCCTCAATCAGAATGCACAATTCTTTC